ATGACTTTCGTGCTGAAGAGAACTCGTACTACTTTTGAGACTTTATTTCAGTCCTTTTGGTTTCTGGAGCAAAACACTGGGAATGCAGCCTGGTTTGCAAAGGGCAAGTTAAAGGGGGAGGGTGGGATATATTCAGCTAGAAGACTGTTGGCTTTTCTTCAGTGTTCTGAAGCTTATAAATAAAACCGCAGTCCTTCATCCTGCCTGCTGTGGAGCATTAAAATGGTGTCACATTGGCATAAATTGTAGTAAATACAGGACTTGTGTCTTTACAAACTTGTAGTATAGTGTTAGTAGTTCAAACTGATGTTAACGTATAGCATCAGGGAAAGCCAGTGTTGCAGGACTTCTAATTACTATTCTTTAAAAAGTATTTCCTGTTCTCAGAGCTGATGCTAATTGCTCCAGGATTTGCTGCTGTTTGTGGTCATTTAGCTCATTACAGAACACCAGAGGTTCATGTAATAAATATTTTGAGGGTGTGAGGTTGACCAAACCCTGGATTGTCGAGCCTCCATCCTTAGAGATACTCAAAACCTAGCGGAATGGGCAGCCTTTTGTAGCTGACACTGATTCGAGCAGCAGGTTGGACTAAATGATCTGAAGAGATACCTTCTAACCTTAGCTATTTGGTCAATTACTTACCTTTTTATGATGCTGTATCTGACTGCACCAGTAAATCCAAATGTTCCTTAATTCTATTATGCACATTATTGGGATTCTGAAACTGGAGAGAATGATGGCTTTTCTGGGAAAGGTCATACAAACCAGGTTTCTAGAATGGCAGTGGATGAAATGGATCAACTGGTCACCTGCAGTATGGATGATACTGTGCGCTACACCAACCTTAGCAAGAGGGACTACAGGTTAGTTAAAATGTTGGCTTTTATTGTAGCACTGCAGCCTTAATTATTTTACAGCAAGAGTTTTGTTGACTTATATGGCAAAGAAATTTATGCTACAGTTTATTCAGGTTTTATGTTACCATGGAAACCGTATAGAAATGATTGCTTTACCAACCTTCCTTTTTTCTGTGACAACAAGAAATGCATCCCAGACTTTTCAATTTGTCTCATCCCTTCCACAGGTTATATAGAGATCAATCTTGTATCGGGTGGTTTAGTTAGGAGACTGTGGAAAGGGTACCCACTTTCTGATTCATAAATACCCAAGAATATTGGTGATAAATGTGGTTAGGAAGGGCAAGACATGTCTGTTTCTTCATGGAAGCCACAATTGAAGCAAAAAACTTCAAAGAAATCTATTAAGATCACCAATTAGTTTAAAGAAAAATAAATGAACTCCAGTGTAGTAACATTGACTTTCACTTAGCAGCTGTACTACTTGATCAAGATACTAATACTTTAAACAGTAAACAGAAGGAAATTTTGCAGATTGTTAAAAAAAAACCCTTAAAATTATTCTATGCCTATCATTACTTAGAATTGCCTATTCAGCTAATACTAATGATACTAATGACCAAGAATATGTGTAACTTACTCTGCCTTGTCCTTCATGCTTCTCCATTTTGGCGCACCTTCTTCCAGTGGCCAGGATGCTGTGAAGATGGATGTTCAGCCAAAATGTTTAGCTGTGGGTCCTGGTGGCTATACTATAGTTCTATGCATTGGACAAGTAAGTATTAACTTGTGAATTATCAACACAATTGCTTTCTTAACAGTGCTGTGTATGGTAACACAATAGTTTCAAACAAACTTGTTTAGTATAGGATCACCTTGCACATCTGTAGAATTTCCTAATGAGAGCTATAGGGAACATAATTCAGTAGGATACTTGCTAGGCTTGTTTTTTCTCATCCTGTACCAATTTGACAGTCTTATGTATAGATTTAAATCTCACATGGTTGGTTGTGTGAATGCATCAGAATTTGTTATCAGTACAGCGTTGTGCTAGAAGGATACAGCATCTGAATCATGCTCTTGCCTCATCACAGTTCAGTACTGTGATTCTGGGGAAAGGATGTCTTGTTCCTGCATTATGTGTTTTTGTAACTAATCCAATAGCCAATTAACTAATGCTGTTGTACAGCATACGTAGCTCTAGCTTGCTTGCCAGTAATATTAAGATCACGCAAAACTAGAGACATTGCACCAAGGCTATCGTGTATCAAAGCATGCTTAACTTCAAATGATTCATGCCTTCTCTATGGATGCTGATTTTATGCTTAGAACTTTTGAGTAGGGTTGTCCAAACTTGTTTTCCACATGAGTTATAATTCCAGTTGTCCATGGTGTAGAACTGGATACAAAGTAGCCCTTAAAACTTAACATTGCAATATTAACTTGCTGCTGATTTGGTCCTGCCTCCCTTTCTTAAGGAGCAAACCAGGAATGGAGTAAGCATTGCTAAAAAGGCTGTTTTGTCCGTGGTGTTCATGCTCAAACCAAATGAGGCAAAGCTGAAGACAGTAGAACATGCCTTGCACTACCTAATTTAGAGCACATAGGTACTCCAGTACAGCAGATTAATTATTCACCACACGTAGGCATTTATTTCTTTTAATAAAAAAAAAAAATGAAACTATTCCCTTAAGATTATAGTAGAGTCATGAGCAATTGGGAGTGTATTTATGACTAAACTTTGTGGCTTAGTCATAGTTTTGCATTGGGCATTTTAAAGAAGGGTCTTAGTTTCTAGTTTTCTATTTGCAGATTGTCTTGATGAAAGATAAGAAAAAATGTTTTGCAATGGATGACCTTGGCTATGAGCCAGAAGCTGTAGCCATTCACCCTGGAGGAGGTACAGCAGCAGTGGGAGGAGCGGTAAGATTGTACTTCCTAAAGCTGTATTGCTTTGAACATTGTAACTAGTAACAGAAACATTTAACTCTAGGAGATGTGTTGAGAGGTAGTAAGTGGCAATTTGTAACAGCAATAGTACAATAAGTAAATTATGTGTAATAGGTATTCCTAGACTTCTAATTCCCCGGGTTCTCCTGCCATTGTCACCTAACTTTTTATCTTATATTTGCTGGTTTTGAATTGTCACATCGTTGTTACTGAGTATATACTTGAAGTAGGTAAATTCTAGAAACCATGTCTGTATTCTAGACTTGGTGGACTGTAGCCAGCATAAATGACAGGTTCTTTAAACTAGTTTTTAAAGTAAGCACTACCAGATAGAGCTGATGCAAAACATTCCTGAAATTCAGTAAGCTTTCCTCTTTCTATTGCAAAGTGATTTTTGTACGTTTTCCCCTTTTTCACTATTAATTTGCAGGATGGGAATGTCCGGTTGTATTCAATCCAAGGAACCTCTTTGAAAAATGATGAGAAGTCTTTGGAAGCTAAGGGTCCTGTTACTGACCTGGCATATTCTCACGATGGTGCCTTTCTTGCAGTCTGTGATGCAAACAAAGTTGTCACTGTCTTTAGTGTCGCTGATGGCTATGCGGTAAGAATAGTTGTTTAAAAAGAAACTGACTGGCATTTCGTGTCTAAACCTGTTGTGGTGAAATATAGTGCAGTAGCCGACACTTAATTTTTAAATCACTGATGTTTATTTGATATTGTTGTGACTGTTTAACTGGTATTTTTAGTTAGTGTCACTTTTTGTTCACAACAGCCTTTGTGGAGCTTCCACATCATAAGAATAGGTGAGGAAATTTACAGCATGGGTTGGCTACTGGGAAAACACTCAAACCCATCTAATAGCAAACACACGGTGGAAGGGTTGGATCTCCACAGGCCAGCAGTAGTTAAATATAAAAGATTATAAAGTAATCAGTACAAAGTAATGCATGTTCCTTATTTTGACCAGCTGAATCATTAGCGTGGCAGGGTGTTTCTTTTTGTGTGAGGTTTTTTGGTTGGTTGGGTTGGGTTTTTTTGGGAGGATTCTTTTTTTGTTGTTTTGAGGGGTTTTTTTTTTTGTTTTTTCGTTTATTTTTTTTAAGTGGGGGAAAATCAACAAAGTACATGCATGCCTCTTAGAGAACTGGTGTGCCTTTCTGTAAAATGGCTCAGCTTGATAAGAATCATGTAGTATAACAAAATTGAATTAAATAAAGCAGGCTCGGCAAAAAAAATCTGCTGGCTGTGGCACACAGTTTACCTCGGTAAGAAGTAAGCAATGAAAGGGATGCATTAGGGCAGGGAATCTTGCTTTATTCCTCCATTTAGAGTCTTAACCAAGAACCAAAGAATGGGCAGTTTCCAGTTTTTGGCTGAGTAGTCAGTATGTGTATCAGCCTGTAAAATCATTAGGGTAACTGAAATCACACTGAAGTAAAAAAATGCAGATGGCATTTCACAAAAACGTTCCATTTTCTAAGTGAAATTTGAAAGAATTTTCCTTTTAGAAACATCTGTGGGATTATTTTAAAAGTCTCTAAACGAAAAGTGACTTATTGCATATGCACTTTACAGATCCAGCTTTCATAGAAGAAGTCTTAGCTCTTTTTACAAAAGGCTTGGATTTTATTGGCCTGATAAGTGTTTAAATAAATAGCATAAAATGAAGCCACTAACTGGTTTGTTTAGAGCATCCATCTGTACAGAGATGTACACTGTCTGAACTATTGCAGTAGCTTCTTGTAATGCTACAAATTAAAAGCCAGGGATTTCCTGAAGGAGCTTAAGCTAATGAAGTAACACTGTCTCTTTAACTTTCAAATAGGAACATAATGTCTTTTACGGACACCATGCAAAAATTGTTTGTATTGCCTGGTCTCCTGACAATGAACACTTTGCTTCCGGGGGCATGGACATGATGGTATATGTTTGGACTGTAAGTGATCCAGAGACCAGAGTGAAGATACCAGGTATGTTTCCTTCAAAAGATTACTTTTGCGAGTTGCTAGTAGTTCTCGAAATCCAACACAGTACCTGCTTTCTAGAATTAAGCTTTGAATGTTTTCCCAAGCTAATTTGGCCTTTACATTAATCTTTGTGTAGCTACAGTAGCCAGATCTCTTCTGTTGTTTTGTAGTCACTTTTTAAAATATAAAGCTACTGTTTAATACAGCTGAAAATCATATCTGGAATATGTACTAAAGTTGTTTTGTCAGCCTCACCTTCCTAATTCTCTTCTGTTATTTTGCACTGCCGTACAGATGCACACAGGCTACATCATGTAAGCGGCTTGGCATGGCTGGATGAACACACTCTGGTAACAACATCCCATGATGCTTCTGTCAAAGAGTGGTCTATCTCCTACAATTGAAATAATCCCTCTCTTTGGAAGGACCTAATCAGGGACTAGAACTACTGCAGTGGAACATAGCATTTCTCTTAAAGAATCTGTATTGGCCTCTGGGTCTGCTATCATATCCTCATATCTTTACAGGGTGTTCATATCTGTAATTAAATGTACTTTGAAAGCTTTAGCCAGTAACAGTTTGCACATGAAAAGCACTTAAATTATGTCTGGAGCTTAACCTTTGTGCTGAACATTCCAGAGGCAACAGCCAAGCGAGTTGGTGTGAAAGATTCAAACTCAATCAGTTGTTCTTTTCTAACCAAGAAACATAAGACTGTACAGCATGAGAGTAATACTTCTCATTTTTAATAATTACAGAACATTTCTGTACTAACGGTCATAGTAAGAGTATTTAGTTGTGATCCGAAACCAATCAAGCTGTGTGCAGCTACTGTATATTGCTTTGCTTCTCTGTACTGCACCAAACTGTTGCCTCAGATTTTCTCCTCCAGATAACAAAATGGGGTACATACATAATAAACTTTTTATGTATTTCATGTCAAAGCTTTGTGGTTTATTTTAAGGTGGAAGTGTGGGGTTTTGATGTACTTACTGTTGTGGGTATAATGTTTACAAATAATCATTGTGGCAACTTCTTGCATCAGAAACACATTTGTTACTTCCATGAAATAAGATTGTCTGGTCATTTCAATGTCAGAAAAAAATCTTTCTGTTTCAAAGATTAAAGATATTTTCTGTTTGAAGGAGGAGAAGCATGTTATTGTTTAAAAAAAAAAATGCAGTACTTCTACCACCTTTTTGAAAATACAGGAATTAAAGTGAAGCATTGTTATGACTTGAAGTGATTTTTTTAAAAGATAGTGTTTGCTGAGTAAGTTTTATGCCTTTGCATGTGCAGAACAGTTGCATGGAAGCAGTTATCTCCTGTGAACAGGTTGTGTTCTTGTGTTTAGTTCCCTTCTCACACTCTACAACACACTTCAGTGATTCGAAGCCAGCAGTCCAACAAGAGTGGAGGAGGACATTCTGATGCAAAGTGGTAGGAAGATTTGTTACCATCTGTAGTGTCCAAAAGAAGCTGTTGTTCAGAACTTTGGAAGACTTAGTAAAGAAAAATCTGGGGGCTTGGTTTGGTTTGGTTTTCTTTTTTTTAAGTCTTCACTTAAGTCTCTTCTTTTATTTTTTTTTTTTATTATTTTATTTTTATTTTTTTAAGTCTTCAGTGCTCTTTGGTTTTTATTAAGCTTTCCTTTCTGTGTGGACTTGTACGTTGTTTTTTTTACCAATCATATTTCTAATGACACTAATTATACAGCAAATAAAAGGCTTTTGCCGCTTCTTGTACTGTGGACCATTGCTCAATTGCTGAAAAAAGAATTGCCTGTCATAAATTACTTTGAATCATCTTTTTAGAAGGAAAAATGTTGATTTTGTTTCAGAAGTGGTAACCAGATGTCTTCTGGCATGCAAACCAGTATACACATTGGAATAGCTGACATGGGTTTTAGCTAAGCAGCAGAATATTTTGCATCATGGTTTCTTTGTGCTTGCTGCATCGCTCCATTAGCAGTTTTGCATGTCTGTTTATTAACAATGCAAGGATAAGTTTCAGAAAAGGGCATGTTTGGAATCGGGCATAAGATCCAAATGAACAAGATTTCTCAGTGTCTAGCTCCTAACCCTTGTTCTGCTGTTGTTTCTTGTGCCAGTCCCTGTGCAATTCATCCATTGTTCCCCAAGTCCCGTTTGGAAGAGTTGCTATTGAATCTGCTCAGTGGGTTCCTGTTGTAGTCGAATCCCTGTCAGTTAAGTAATGATGAAAGAGGGAAGAAACAAAGTTATGCGGATGTTTGTGGGCAAAGAACAGAATTTGCTGGAAAATGCTTTTCGTAAGAGGTGGGCCTGCTAGTGAATTGTGCGGTTTTTTGAGGGAAATGGCTTCATTTCCTGAAGCCTTCTACCACTACAAATGGATTCCTGCACTTCAGAGCTTGTGCACCATGTTTGGAAGGTGCTGTGTAGGATGAGGTATTTTTTTGATGCCTAAAAGACCTTGTAACACTGTTCCTGCAGAATGCCTGTTAGCTGGAAACCCTTTATTAAGACTTGTTTGGTTGCCTGCCTTTGAGGGTGGTTGCTCGTGCTTCGGCTTCCATGGGATTTGTTTATTGGCATACGACCTAAGCTTCTAATTCCTTAAGGACTAATATGGTCTTTGTAGTTGGATAGCAAATCCTGACTACAAAATTGAAAGGATATTCTGCTCTTGGACCAAATGTCATAGCACAGGCTGATTGTTGATCCAGCATTGGCAGCTTACAAACTGAGTCAAATGAGTCCAGTTGTAGCCCTGAATCAGGCTTCTACATTACTTGTATTTGCCCCAGACCGAGAAGTCTTGCACCAAACTTGAAAATCAAGAAATAGCCATGGGGCAGGAGCACATAGCTACAGCATGACTCTGCTTTCTAATCTCAGTTGCACAAACAACCCTAAAGTTGGGTTTTCTTTCACTTAAAATGGCAGGTGTATTATGTTTCTTTTTTCCTAAAGAGGAAACAAATAGTTTGGCTGTAAAAAGCAAAGAGCCTTCCCTGAGAGAATGTAGACCTTTCTGTAGATAGCTGCGTGAAAGCACAGCATTGCTGAGTTTGAGCTTTTCTCCTCAACAGCCCTGTTTGGTTTGAGAACTGCAGGCTGTCAGTCTCTGCAAAACAATGGGGATAGCTATTCACTGTCAGGGGCACTATAAAATGTATGTGTAGGAATGGAAGCCATTCTCTCCGTTGGACAAATTGTGATTGTTTCAGCCATCGTTTTTCTTTCTCATTCTCTGTAAGCCCTGTTCTGCTTGTCATGGGAGAGGGTGTGGAGGTGGCAGCTGCTCATGCAGCAAGTGATTGACCCCTTGGCCTGCTCTGAAACAGAGAAACAACAGGACTAGACTGGATGAACTGTCAAGAGGTCCTGGCTTCCATGAACCCCAAATTCTGTTCTTCAGCAGTAATGTACAGCTTGTAGCAACCTGAAAAGGAAATACGTGAGATATTTGATGTGAATATGAACAAGCTGTTGCTGTGTTAAGAGTTGTGAGTGTTTTAATGCTAGTTCAAGCCCTGGCCAAACACTGCTTCTGAAGCCCTGTTACTCTTAAAATTGTTTCTGTTTTAAGCATAAACATGCTTTTGAGCTCTGACAGTTACTGAAAAGCAGGTTTCACTTCACCATGATTGGCAACTTGCCTGCTTTACAGTGAAAATGCAGCTTGATTAGGCCAGTGGGAGTGGGAGATTTAATGCAACTGGTAACTGCTCACAAGGTTGTACTTCAGGCATTCTCCCCTCCCCCTTTGACAGTATGATTTAATCCCAGTTGCCTGTTCCATTTCTGCCACACTTGTACAGAACATTGGCCTTTCAAGAAGCTGGTCTATACTGTCAGCCAGAAGCTAACATCAGCTGTTCTGTGGAATATCATCATCAGATCCTAAATGAGATCTTGAATTGGCAATGGGTAGATGGAAAGGTAAAGAACATCACAGATCCATCTGGAGATGAAAATTTGTTGTTTAGAAAGCTGGACATATGACAGAATTATGGATGGACCACCAACAGATATTCTGGCACCTCTGTTCCTCTGCTAAATGCTTTTGCTCTTAACCACTGGAGCTTCTTGGAGTGAGGATAACTGCCTAAAAATCTTATTTACGTGAATTCTTTTCTGAAGCCAGAGCTGTGGGAATTTAGTTTTTTGAAGCTGTTTCATGTTTGAAGCATGACACTGCAGATGCTGTTTCATGGTTGCGGCACAAGGATTTTCTGACCAAACCTTTTCCCTATGATAAATATAGCTATGGCTATCTCTACAGTGAAAGTATATGGAGGAGAAAATAGTGCCTTGTGGCCAGGAGCGGAATGATGCAGTGAACTGGCTGGATTGAAAACAAATCACAAATTATCGTATTTTTTTATATATAGATAGCAGATGTTTTTGCTAAGAGCACAAAGCCTCCGTTCCCCTCCCCCCCCAGCTAATTAGCTTGGGAATTAAGCTACTTAGTGAAAGAAACATAAAATATCTTAGGATCATCAAGTCCACCTCCCTGCTCCTCGCAAGACTACCTAAAACTAAAGCATATAGGAGGAATCGTCCAGATACTTACTAAACTCTGACAGGCTTGGTGCCATGACCGCCTCCCTGGGAGCCTTTTCCAGAGACTGACCACACTCTTAGTGAAGAACCTTCTTCTAATGTCCAGTCTAATCTTCCCCTGATGCAGCTTCATTCCATTTCGTTGTGTCCCACAGCTGGTCACCAGAGAGGAGAGAAGGAACTCCCTCCTCACTGCTGCCCTAGAGAAGTTGTAGACTGCAGTGGATAAATGCGCGTTCTTTGCATACGAAAGGCAGTTCCTTTGAAATACTAATGTTTTTACTGACAGGAATGAAATCAATTATACCATTTCATAGACATGTTGGTGGAAGGGACCCTGAAGATTCTCTTCATCCCTCCATCTAGTCTTATTTCATGTACAAAGTAGGGCTATGAGCAGTACTAGACCAGGACTGCTGTGTTTTGTTTTCTAGCCAAGTCGTAGAAAACTTACAAGGATGGAGATTATGTAGCCTCTTTGAGTAATCTGTTCCTGTCAAGTTTTTCCTAATGTCCAACCTGAGATTCCAAAACCGTACCATGTGGCCATTGTCCCTTGTTGACATTTTCTGTTACTAGCAGGAAGAACTTAAACGCTAAGGCCTTGGTATTGCCCCTTGGACTAGTTTCTCTGCTACCTTGCAGGCTGCCAGTGTGATATTATGTTGTTGATTGCTGCTCTTTCAGCCTGGTGATCCAGCCCACATTGCTCAGGTTCGATGGGAGACTGCTGTGGGAGGAGGGGTCTAAAGGCCGGATGTGCTGCATTAGGTCATTCACCTTATCTGCATTGCTATCAGTGGCGAACTGCATAGCTATCAAGTGGTCAAGTGTGACTTGCCTGTGGCAAGTCTGTGTTGGATATTCCTTTGTCCTGCAAGTATTTAGGATTGAATTCCAATGGGAAGCGCTCCTTCACCCCTTGGGGACTGCAGCGGAAGCAAACTAGCTCCCGTTCCCTGGGTCTTCCTTTCATTCATAGTTGCAGCAGTGTGTTGGACAGGTACATCAGCCTTTTTGAGGTCTTCAGGGCCCTCCCATGTTAAATATCTTTTTTTCATGGATGGTAGATAACTATCTCATCATCACTTTGATCAACTATTTCAACAGCTCTAGGTGGAGAGCTCATCACAGCCCTATGGACTTGAACGCATCCAGTTTTTAGGTAGACCATAACACTGCTTCCTTCTGGTGGCTGCCCCTCTCCAGAGCACACTGGCACACACAGAGGTCTGGATGAAGGCCTGTCTGTGAAAACTAAGGCTAAAATGAGTTGAGTACTTGAGCTTTTTCTATCACCTGGAGCCAGGTCGTTTCCCCCATTTAACAACAGGCCTCCACTTTTCCTTGGAAAATTCAAGAGAAAAAAAAGCATTGTGCACTGTTATAAATACCTGAAGCACTGCCACATTTCCCTGTTAAAGCAGAGACATAGAAGAAACTGCGTTTATTTTTTATGGCCTAGTTGCCTGGGTCTTGCAGGAAGCATATCGAGTTTGAGGAATATGCTTCACTTACAAGCTCATTGCTGTCTTTATGAATAGCAATGTAGCTATTCATATGTAGCTGTAATGACAATTACATCCTGATGAAAGGCGATTCATCAATCACTGTAGGTTAATGAAGTTCTGCAGTTCATGGTTCACACTCTCTGTAAGACAAAACACAAGCCAGGCTTAG